TCGCCTTCACTAACAATATTCATGTTTAGATTAGAAATTCACAGAAAGTGTGTTAGAAGAAAACTGGGGATTTAGAAAATGGCACCAGTCATATGAAAAGGGCTTTTGAGGTACAAATTATCATCTCCATTAAATTTTATTTTTATTTTTTTTTTTTAAAAAAAAAAAAAAAAAAAAAAAAAAAAGAGGTACAAGTTACCATCTCCAACTTCTTAGACTTTAAACAATTTCACTCATTAAACCTGAACATGAATTCTTCACAGTATAAAAATGTCTCATTTTACATCTACTAATATGAAGGAAAATTTCTTACAACATCTTAGTAAGGTTCTGTTCTCCTCACCTTATTTTCTAGTTATTTCATAAAAATAATTCAAACGAGTGAACATCAGGTCTATAAAGCAATTTCCCAGAATCAACCAAAGGAGAGGGGCAATACAAGTAATTTCATTATGATTCAATAATTATTAGCTTGAAGAAGATGGTATTGAATTAAGCTATCAGCACCCCGCCTTGTTTCGGGAATCTATAACTTATTTACAAATCATAAAGAATCAAAGAAGAGAGAATTTAATTTTTACTGCCTCTAAGTGAGAAGAACACGTTCTTCCATCCATCTAACCTCAAAATCTTTGTAATTACCGGTTTGCCCCCTAAAGGCATACCTAAATAACACTTGACAATGCTGCTAAACTCTCCTGAACATTATGTTACAATGTAGAACCTAACAAATATTCAAATACAACTTGAGTTACAATTTTATGTACCACTAGTCCACTATTCCTTTGAATCTTTGATTGACATGCATTAAAAAAAATTAAAAAAAAAAATTAAAAAATAAAAAAAGCCTTCTCTACAAAATGTAGTAGATATAAAAAATTTGGCCGAATCACAACTCCAAGGAATTTTGTCTGGTAGATAATTAACTCATGAACAAATGGAGTGCTCCTCTTGTACCCAAATAATAGTTTTATTTCTCCCAAAAACCTTGTTCCTAGATAAAAAGTCTCATTTCACATTTGTCTATTTATTTTACTTTTAATCAGTCAAATTCCACAATCTTACTCTTCTATTCACCAATACCAACCAAACTGCAATATCTTAGTTTTTATATTCACCTTTAAACAAAACCACAGTATCTTTCTTTTTTTCCATGTTCCTATAAACTTGTGCAAAAAGCAAAGAGACTTTTACTTGGGCATGGAGGGAGTGGATGAGAAAATACCTTTAAAAGAACCAACTTGACATAAGGATCCTCCTCATACGCCAAAAAACGTTCCAACATCCGAGAAATCTGCATAGAACAAATGTAAATGTAAAATGTAAAAATGGAGATCAGCCCTATTCTAACAATTTCCTTTAAGTGCAAAGGATTGGATTACACAATTACTACAGACTTCACGTTGTTATTACTTTCTTCATTTTCCGAAACCAACAAAGATATTAAATTTGTTATGAGCTCCCTCAGTGCAACCAAAGCTTTAGGAGCTAGCGTTGAATTAGTTTACATAATAGGTAAGGTAAAAGCACAGACTATAAGTGTAGAGATATACTTCCTCCATTTTCTTTGAAATGCAACACACTTTTTTGGCACACACTTTGAAGAAGCGATTACATACTGTAAACAGACAAACTAATCAAAAAAATTATAGATATAGTACCTAACCCTTCTCTAATCTTGGTGTTAAAATTATTTTGATAAATTAGCTCGTTTACCTACGCTAATTAACTAATTAAGTCCTAAACAAAGCATGCCAAAAAAATGTGTTGCATATAGAAGAAAACGGAGAAAGTAAATGATTAAAAAGTGTAGAATATTTCCAGTTTTATTATTGTTTCACTAAAAAAAAAAAGGAAGAAGAAGATGGAAAGTTTTGCACTTAACACAAACAAAAGGAGTAACAATAGATCCCACAAACTCATTCTAGGCTAACAGCAATGAGCCTACAATAATGGTTTGAAACAAACTCAGCTCATAAGAATAATCCAAACACCAAACCCCTTTTAGAAATCTGGTTAAGTGATAAGATGGATATCACTTTATAGCTGATGAGGAAATAGTAAATTTGAGAGGGGCTTGAAGTACAATGGAAGAAACAAGTTCTTTCTTAACAAAGAAAAAACATCTTAACAAAATACGAACACAAAAATATAGTACATGTCAACCAATTGCAAGAATCATATCTAGAAATTAAAACACCAGTTACACTTCCCAAATAGCCCAAGATAGAAGCACCAAAAGTAGTTAGATGAAAACATGTATCCCATAAACCTGTATCCCAATACTCTACATTGGAATATAATGTCTTTTACGCATTCTCTCTAATACTCTACATTGGAATATAATGGCATTTACGCAATTATCTCTAATAAACTTTGTAGATTCTAAAGCATACATTTTAATTATTCTATACATCAATTTCAAATAAGTGCATCACAAAAAGGACATTCAGTCAATTCAACGGTAACCAAAAATGTGCAAGCTCATACAGCTATATAGATAAACTACATTAACCTTAGAGGAGGGGCAGGTGGGGGGGGGGGGGGAGCAGTGCTAGAGTTCACCACATGCCACAACAATTGCTTACCATATAGTCAGAGAGTGCATTCAATTGCTTGGGCCGGTTCATTATAATCGCTTTCACAGATTGCTTGTCCTGAACCAAAATCTGAAAAGAAAAAATCGAAGATAAATTTGCAGGAAAGATTTTTGGCAAAATGAAGAATAGTAGCAACTAAATAATTTCACTGTATAAGCTAGAATTCTATCAAGAAACTTGCAACAAAATATGTGTACAGAGTATAGACTATACACACCCACTAAAATAAACATGCAACTTCACGAAAAAAATAAAAAAAAAATGACTAACATCCGAAAAAAAAACAAAGAAGAAACCCATGCAAAAAACAGCCATATACATGGAATGGTCAGTCACAACATCACAAGTAATCCCTGGCTCCTTGCTGCATTGGTTATATTTTGAATAAAAGCTCAAAACCTTAAAAAAACAGCTGACCTGCTTTTCTCTTTTTACTATGCACAGAAAATACTATGGAGTATCTCATCATACAACGATTGACGACAATATCATACAACGAGCCATCAACCGTTACTAAACTCTTACAGAAAATACTATGGAGTATCTCATTGTCAATTGATACTTTCAAGTCAATTTTGTAATCACTCTTTTGCAAAACAGAAGGGGTCCTTATATGATGAGTATGAAGGCAAATATTTCCAAGTGAGAAGCAAATTTGATTTTTTATACTAATTTTAAAGGTTTGAACAATTTCTAGGGGCTATTAAATTAAGAGTCGACAACTCAAATAAAAATGACTCATAGACAAAACCCAAGAAAAACTCAAAATGGAGCTATTTAAACTAAGAGTCAATAACTCAAATAAAGTCGAACTCTTAGACAAAACCCAAGACATACTCAAAGCACAACTCAACCATATTATGCATCCAATTGATTCTAATGTAATACAACAAATCATGTCAATTATGCATTTGAAGATGTATAAAATCATGCATTTAAAAATATATTAAATCTAATTAATTGAATTTTTCCTTTCTTATCATAAAACAAATCATTTGCACCAAATTCAAATACAAGTATGATCACCAAATCACCAATACCCAATAACATTAGTAGAAATTAAGCATTTCTAGCATATACAAATTCTAGATTTCTCTAGTTATAAAGAATTTCCCTTCAAAAAAATACTTCGTATATCACCCGAATCGCCTCAAACAATCATGTCAATTAATTTACACAAATTCATTAATCAATTAAACAAGCAGCAACAATATAATATCATATAATCACAAATTTGTAAATATAAAATTAAACGACAAGTAACAACTACTGAAATAAAAAATCAATACCTGATCACACTCGGAACTTTGAGCATTTCCCGACGCCATTGTTAATTTTCCAACGCTTGCTAGAAATCGGAAAAATAAATAAATAAATAAATAAATAAATAAATAACTTGCTAATTACACACTCTCAATTCAGAAAGTGATTAAAAAAATAAAAAGATTTTGATCAAAAGAGAAATGAAGGTAATATTGTTACCGTTGAAGGTTGTTGAATTTTTGGTGTGCAATTTAGCAGGAAAATATGGGGGTTTTCTTGGTTTTCCTCTTTGAGAAGATGCTAATCATGCTATTGTTGGTAAATGGTATGTGAATTTGTGATGCTAGTTTTCTTTTGTTTTGAAGCTCGTGGTGCTAGTTTCTCAAACGCAAGTGCAACAAAAAAGGGCCCACATAAATAATACATAGGCTAGACGTGTCAAAAATTGACCCAACGACTCGATACGATCCGACCTAATTAAACCTGACTCAAGTACTCAAATTAACACCTCTTACCTCTTTATATCTAGAGGTCATTGTCAAACAAACTTTTGCCTCCACTGTTTTTTTATTTTTTTATGATTTTTTTTTTTTGAAATTTTTTTTTATGATCTTTAATGATCATAATTTTCTCACACACACAAAAAAAAAAAAAAAAAAAAAAAATCATGAGAGCATTCATGGTAACATGTATATGTAGTTTGGGTTGTCACATCATTAATCCCTAACCTATATGATTTAAACTGCAACCTCTACAATCGTAAGATATATCATTAATCGCAACTTCTGATTCAAGAACTAAATGTCTTACCACCAAGCTATGTGATTCTTTATGTAATCTTTTGAATACAAAATATTAATATGTAGCAAATTGACAATATTTGTGTCAAAAAAAATGACAATATGAATAACAAATTTAATTACAAGGAAATAAACAATACAATGTATATTAATAATCAATTAGTTTTATGTAATAACTCGGGACATCACCTGAGTCAAAAACTAGTAATTTGTTTAATTGGAATACAAAGTGTATTATATTGGTTAAACATACTAGTAGCCTAGTGGTTAGAACATTACCTTATTTTATTTACCTAAGGTCATGGATTCAATCATGGATTCAAATCATCATCCTAAGGCTTTATTTTGATTGGAATTACAATTTTGTAGAAATTGAGTAAGAAATTGTAACGATGGTAAATTGCTAAATTTTGTAGTCCTTGTTCGTCAATAATCTCAATAGGCAGAATATACGGAGTAGAGTGTGTAGAGTATTATTTTTTTTACACCTTGGGAGTTTTTCACTTTTACGCTTCACCCTTTTCTCCCTCTCCTCCATTGAAGCATACTCCCAATTCTCCATTGAAGCGCCTTCCGAAGCTTTCTCTCCTCCATTCAACCAGCTTCTTAGGTATGACGTTTTTTCTAAAAAAAAAAAAAACTAATTATCGAACATCAATTTCACAATCTAGGGTTTAATTTCTCACTATCTTTGATTTAATTGCCAGTTTAGTCGATTTAGGGTTCTTCATATTGGATATAATATTGAACTATTTGTAATTTTTTGAAGTTATGAAAGATTATAATGAGCGGTTTTGTTCCTTGAATTATGTTTTTGTGCAATTTTCGTTGATATTTTTGTAAACCAGAAGAAATTTATGTGAATTTTTTCGATCCTGATTTGCTAATTGAGTCAGAATTGGTTTCTTATGTGTTGCTTTTTCGAACTTAATCTAGCCCACACCTGAGCTAAAGCTTTTTGAGGCTATTGGAGCCCGAGCCGAGCCTAGGATTTAAGGCTCGTCGTGCTTTGAGCTTGAGCCAAGCTTACCTGAATCGAGTACCGAGTTTAAGATAAACCTGTAAATTGGGCCCCTTAGGTCCGGCCGATGCCCCGGATTATTTCGACATACACATTGTATTATAACTTACTTCAAGGGATTCAAGTAATTTTATAATTTTGGCTATTAGAACCTATTATTACAAATCACAACCACCAATTGGCTGTTAAAATTCTTCTTAATGTACATTCAAAAGATTAAATTTTTTTACATTTACTTGTGGATAGTTAAAGATCTTATGCTTAGAATTTTGTATTGGCAAGAATGAAAAGTAGAAATGTTCTAACTAAATAAAAATAGAGGAAGTAACATAGAAATAGACGTATACGGAACTCAAAATATAGTTTATGAATCAAAAGTTTCCATATTGGATTGAGAATAGAGGGGAATGAATATATATTAAGTTGCATCAAAGATTTACCAGGAAATAGGGATGGGAAGGTTGTGGGGTGGATGAATTTGGTTGGTTTCCTATTCAAAATTAACCCTTCCTCCTTTTTCTCTCCCCTCCTTTTTCATTTATTCCGTTCATGCCATCACTGCAATTATATTTCTGCAGTTGTTTGCTAATTAAGCACACTGTTAATCTATTACTGTCAATTGGATGGAAGAATTTCTTTATTGCTATCGCCTATTACTATTATTGAATTTTTGGTAGTGAAGTGGCATGTATTTGTAAAGTTAGCCTTTTTAGTCGATTCTAGATGCAGTGTTTCATTGAGTGTTTAAGCTATGCCCTTGCCGATCAATTAAACTTTATTTGGTTAGAAATGTAATTATGGTCTTCAGTCTTATTTGGTTGCTCTTCGGTTCTCTGCTGCTGAGATTGGTGCTGCTAAATTTATTCCAGAAATTCAGAGAATCTGCCACTGCTGCCAGGATTGGTGGGTATAAAAAAATAAATGTATGGAAGAGCAGGTCTTGACAGATTTAAGAAGGCGCAGGCCTTGGAGCCCTTTGCTGTCACTCCCAAAACATCTTCCTTGCCACCTCCTAAATCTGTAACACAATCTTATCCTCAGCATCCTACTCAACAAGGACAGGTGCAGTCACAGAAACCGGCTCTGGATGCAGCTGTGTCTGTACCCTCCACGACAACTCCCAATGTTACCCAGATTGGTGGGGGACAATCTACTTGGCAGCCTCCAGATTGGGCTATTGAACCTCGTCCTGGTGTATATTATCTTGAGGTTGTGAAAGACGGAGAAGTCCTTGACCGGATTAATCTTGACAAAAGGAGGCACATCTTTGGCAGGCAGTTACATACATGTGATTTTGTGCTTGATCATCAATCTGTTTCACGTCAACATGCGGCTGTTGTTCCACATAAAAATGGAAGGTTTGATTTATTTCACCTTTTCTTTTCTTATTTTTTTTCCTTAATTTCTTTCACCTTGTTTCTTGTGTACTTCTTTGGCCTGGGCTGTCTCTTCAAATAATTACATATTTTTGTCTACATTGATAATTACCATGTCTACAAGATTTCATACTATATCTGAGTAGCATTTATCAATTACTTAAGTGATACAAAGTGTCTATGACCTAAAAGGGACAAAATTCTCTGGGGCCAATTAGTAAATTTCCTACAAGGTACAATAATTCTGAATTTCCTACAACGTTAATAGTAGTAGTATTAGCAGCAGCAGCCACCTTTCCATTTCACAATACACGAAATAATGGGTACCCATTCCCCTCTTAAATTTTATTGTTCATAGCATGTACTTGATGCTTATTTAGTGGCTACACTTATATCTCTTAACCAAAAGTGCTCCTAGGATATACATCTATTGTGATTTCAGGTCTAGTAATGAGTGAAAACATGAATGAAACGTCAGACAGTCGAAATGTTCAAGTTTAATAGTCAAATTGTTTAGCACATTATGAACATAAAGAATGTCATTCCATAGCAACACTTACTATGGGACATTTCTCTTCATGAAATCAAACATAGGCCTTGGTTTTAAAAAGCGCGCCCGAGGTGCGCCTTGCTCCCAGGCTCTGGGAAATGGGCTTTAGCTAGGCGAGGCTGAGTCACCTACGGAAGGCGCGCGCCTCAAAGCGCCTTTGCGCCTCAAGGAAAATAACTAAGATTTAAGTTATAAATTGAAGAATGATGAACATTTTTTCAAATTCAGACAACTTTAGCTTTACATATATCATTATTTAATTTATTATGAATCTTTTTAATTGGTATTAAGTACAATCAAAGTAAAAAATAATTTGAAATAAATATATAAATACACGCGCCTTGCATACAAAAGGCGCGTGCCTTCGCCTTGCGCCTCACGCCTAGGCTGCAAGGACCATTTGCGCCTTTTAAAACTAAGACATAGGCCCTATATGGTATACAACTATTAGTTAAAATTTATTGTAAGCACTTATTTGATTGGTTGTTAGTTTGGTAAAGCAGAGGAAGTGATGATAAATTGGTTTATCACCACTCATGTGGCCATGTGGGTGTCTTTGCTTTTAGAGAGAGAGAGATGATAAGTTGTTGATATAAGGTTGGCATAAAAAGAATAAACTCAATAACATTAAGTGATTAAAACTTATAAAAACAAAAAAACCTGAAAGTGAGTAATACTTAGGGAACCCTGAACTGGATGTATTTTTTAGGCAATTGTTTGAAGAAAATCTTAAGAAGTTAAATACTTGATGGGTAGTGGGGTGAATGGAAATCAAGAACACATTTCTTTCTCAATTCTATTTGGGGCTGTGATTCAGTAGGACTTGTAAATTAAAAGGATAGATTTATTGAAGCCTGTAATTTTCCAACGTAAGGTTAAGTATATTCCCTTACACACTCGAAAATTAATGCATGTACTCAACTTCAATAATAATAATAATAAAGTTACTTTGTTCTCAAAACAACACTAAAGCTTATATTTATGCCTAGTGCTGTCTGGTTTCCTAATCAAACATGAAAAAGAAACTAAACAACCTTGTAAAATAAAAAGGACAATACCTAAAGAATTAATTAAGGAAAGAGGCTTAGAATATTTAAAGATCCTAATTGAAGGCCCAACACACCTTAGATTAAACCAGCAATAATGAAATCTCACTGGTAAACCCCCACTTTAACGGTTTGTTTGGATAGCAAAGTGGAAGGGAAATGGAAGGGAGGGAAGAAGAAGGAAGGGGAGGTAGAAGGTAAGGTTACATTTTCCCTCCAAATCTTTCTAACATTGGAAGGATTTGGTTTATTAAATAATAAAGAGGGAGGGAAAATGAATCCTTCCATTTCCTTTCCCTTCCATCTTACCAAATGGTTTCCAAACTGGGGAGGATGGATCCCTTCTTTTCTCTAGTCCTCCTTTCCCTCTAATTTTCTCTATCCAAACAAAGTGTTAAAAGTACTGTAAAATCAGGAGAGTTCATAACTATAGTTGTAAGGATATTCATTAAATAGGGTCTGATTGACTTAAGTAGTTTGTCATTTAAATTGCTACAGTTTAGAGTATATAATGTGCATTCAGTATATAGCAAAATAGCTTATCTGACGATAAGTTCTTTCTTAATACCTGAAACAATTTCAGTATCTCGGAGAGCTTTAAGTTTTCCATTGAGCACTTTATTAAACACCCATGGTCAGTAACATGTTAAAGACTTAAAGTCATGTTGGAGTTTGGATTTTGCTCTAAGATGTGATTAAATGTGCAAGACCTCCTCCTTGCAAAGTGGAGGAAAAATTATTAAGAGAATTATGTTGACAAAAGATACACCTGTTGAAATCATTTGCTAAACGTTGTGATCGACCTGGCTTTGTTGCAGCGTATATGTTATGGATTTGGGATCTGCACATGGTACATTTGTTGCGAGTGAGAGATTAACAAAAGATACACCTGTTGAACTTGAAGTGGGGCAGTCTCTGCGATTTGCTGCATCAACTAGAACTTATATCTTGAAAAAGAATGAAGCAGCTCTTTTCCCTCCACCTCCTTTACCCACAGAAATTGATCTGCCGCCACCCCCTGACCCTTCTGACGAGGAAGCTCTTGTTACTTATAACACACTACTAAATCGTTATGGTATAAGCAAATCAGACCTCGTTAAATCCACAAACTTGTTTGTTGTATCCAGTGGAAATGATGATAGCCAACCACCAACTAGAGCAGCTAAGAGAATGAAGAAATCTAGAGTTGCCTTCAGAGACCAAGTTGGGGGTGAGCTGGTTGAAGTTGTTGGGATTTCTGATGGTGCCGATGTAGAAACAGAACCTGGTCCTCTTGGTCTAAAAGAGGGAAGTCTTGTTGGTCAATATGAGTCACTAGTCCAAATCACGGTGATTCCAAAAGGGAAAGGCCAGACGTCTGTCAAGGAAGATAATGTCTCTCCAAAAGGCGTTACTGACAAATTACAGGAAGTCTTGAACAAGGTTAAAAAATCTAACTCATCAAAAAGTGGCATCTATGATGACCTATATGGAGATTCTTTTTCTGGAAAGGTGGGTTCGTCATGGGCAATCTCCTCTGGTAACCCTGTTGGTAGAGAACCATCTCCCTCAAACAATGGCGGGATGAAGGATTTTTTGTCCAACACTGCTTCAGGAAGCAATAATATTCTTGATGATGACGATGACTTATTTGGTGACTGATTGAGGCAAGTGATCAGGTGGAAAATTTCCTGACTGCCTCTCTGAAAAGGAAAAATGCTCTTTGATTGGTTAGCCACTGTCAATGAAATCAATTGACTGAGATGCATTTTTTTTTTTTGGCTCAAGACAGGGAGGCATCTTTAGAGAGGTGATTTTGTTGTATTTTAATATTTGTTTTCTGTTTTGGTGCAATTTCACCATCTGTGTGAGGCCTAGGATGTGATCTTCAGATTCTAGCTGTATAGATGCAATGCTTTGTACGGAATTGTCGGATTGTGCTTAAACTCACAGTCCCTTGAGTTTGTATGGTGCGTCATGTGTGTCATAAATCTGAGCCTCACGTCACAGCTTTTGCATTTTTGCATCTTGATTCTTACATCTTATAAAGTACAGCTTATTATTTGATCTTTCATTTTTTGAGTAATGTTGGTAAGGATCCCTCTGAAACAAATTATATCTCTGTTTCCTGCTTCTGGTGACTTACTTACCTGCACTTTTTGATGCCCTTAAGTGCTTGATTGCATATGTTTTGAATTTCATTTGTTTATGGTGTGAAATTCAAACCTCTTAAGGATCATATTACTTTGTTGGGCCTAAGAAATGAAGATCCCTTTTGAAGTGTTGCTATTACCTGCTCCTTGGCTGCTCGAACACATACGGAACATTGAGTGGATCATGTTATTGTGTTCAAGACTTGGCTTGAATTAGTGCTTGATTGTGTTCATTTAAAGTTTTAAATTTGTATCTAAAATAATTGGGTAGTCTAACTGTACTTTAGTCACTCGGCACAAAATAATTACTTTGTGTAAATGAAATTGTTTATATTGCTTAAGGAAAGCAATTTAGTATGGGATACTTTGGCACTTTACTTGGTTATCACTGCGACTGAGTTAGGCCTGATTTTTTTGAGCTTATGGCAGAGCAAAGCAGATTTTAGCACAGTAGAGCGGAGTAGAAGCCGCTTAAAAGAACTGGCCTTATTGAGAGAGAAAGGTGAAGTGTTAGCAAAAAATTGGATAAGCACTAATGATATTTGTTCATAAATAAATTTAATGTGAAACTAACGGAAAATTTGAGAAGATGAAAATGAGGTTTTTTTTTTTTTTTTAAGAGAGCTACAAGGGTGGGTGATGAGAATCGATTCCAGGATCACCTGAGATCGGGAGGGGAGCTCTAACCACTTGAGCTATCCCTCACTCTAGAAAATGAGGTGATAACTCAAGTGGTTAGAGCTTACTTCTTGATTCTAGGTAATTCTTGGATCGATTCTCATTAACATGTCCTTGTGGCTCTCTAAAAACCAAACAAAATAAATAAATAAATAAAAATTGAGAAGTAGCAAATAATTGAAGGTAAACGAAAAAATTTGAGAAGCTTCAAAATAATTGAAGGTAAAACAAAATAATGTGAAACAAATGTAAAAGAAGTAAGTGGTAACATATTTAGCTTATTTGATTGAACCTATGCAAGTATTTGAACCTCTTTATCATTTAAGGAGTAATCGACATTTCATTCATTAGAGCAAATAATTGCACCAAAATTACCAAACATCTATTCCTTTTCCCTTTTACTCTTTCAGTATTTTCTAGAAACAATGAAATGACTACTACAAGTAAAGTAAAGTGTATTTGAATAGATAGAGGGATATTGCGTATCCATATGATTCTTAAAACCCGATATATAAATATTTTATTGTGGTGTATTTCATCTTTTTCACTAAGTGATATGTAATTACGTATGTGGCGACCTGATAATATTCTCAAATTGAGTACGTATAATATACTTTATTAAGAAATTGTTTTATGTAAGATTTTAACAATATCCCATGATTTTTATACTAATCTGTATGCTATTTAATTTGACAAATTTTACATAATTTCTTGTGATATTTTTTGTTTGTTTGTAAAAATCCTAATTAATTATACAATGAATAAAAAACAAAGAAAATATCAAACTAATATGAATTTTTAATTTATAAATAACTAAACCCCACTCCCGTTTCCATTTATCATCCATCTACATGCAAGATGCAATATTATATAACTCGGATTGTATTATTTTACACATTTTTGTAACCTACTACTTGTATTATGTTAAGACTAATATTTTGAAAATAAAACACTAAAAATATGTGAAACTTTCCATACATAGTGGATTTTATTAATTGAACAGACTTCAATTTTTTAAAAATTATTGTTATAGGATTAATAAAATCTAGAAAAAGTTAAACAATTAAGTGGAATTTTTTTTAGGGAAAATAGGGCACATGTGGACAGATTTGATTAAAAAAAATATCTTTCACCCATTTCTTCCCTTTGGTGTTCTAAAGGGCCAATAATCAAGGTGTGTGAGCACAATTTTTAGATCACAAATGTAAAGGCAGCACCAATGATTCATCATATAAGCTTGTAAAGAAGGTAATAACTTTAGCTTTTGAGCTTTAAGAGGTGGTGGCAAATAAACGAAGCATTTATACTTTTTAAAATATTTTTTTTTTCTTATTTAAGGGTTGTTTTTTTTTTTTTTTTTTTTTAATTATTATTATTATTTTTCATATGGAACGAGTATATGGATTTAGGCCGACCAATTTTATGCACACCTAGCTAAGTGAATCTCATAAACTATTGTACTTCCTCCGTTCTTTTATTATTATACCACTTGTCTTTTTAGGAAGTTTCACAAATATTGCACCATTTTCTCTTTAGGAAAAAAATTATTTGTGTTCACACTACAAATACCCAACATACCCTTATTTTTTCACACTTACTTTTTAGTTTATATCAATATGTCACATGGGCAATTTTGTATTTTTACATTTCTCTCTCTTACTTTTTTATACTACCAAAATATTTGTACCCAACCCATATGGTGCAATAATAAAAAAACGAAGGAGGTATAAGAATTAAGTGGAATTTTTTTAAGAATCGAACCTTTAACTTGCTAGGGTGGAATAATAAGAAGTGATCGATGCTGTTATATCATTCCTCGTTATGTAAACACGAGTGCTCTGTATTGAATTGTTGATCTCAATCGGGATTCATGTTTATGATGTCACTAAGAATGAAGAAGCAATGACGTTCCAACTTTTCGCCAAATTAAGTGCGCGCCACGTTGGATAGATATAAATAAGTTTCATAAGATAAAAAAGTTAGTTTAGAATTCTATTTGGATAAAATTTAAGGATAAAATTATTAGATTAGAGTTTTATTTTCGATAAAATATCAATATTTCAAATGTACAAATTGAATTATAATTTTATTCAAAAAAATTATTAAATACTCCGGCCGTTTTTAAATATTTGCTCCACTTTCCTTTTCCGGCCGTTTTTAAATACTTGCTCCATTTCCTTTTTTGGGAAAGTTTTTACAATATTTAATTCATTTCTCACACTTAGTGGACCCAACATAATACTCTCTCTCCTCCTATTCTTCCACTACTTTTTCTTTTTACATTTTTTTTTATTTTCTCAACTGCCCCACTACCTCCATATATATTTTATTACTTTCTCCAATTTCTCCTAAAACTCCGAGTAGGGAGAAATGGAGCAAGTATTTTAAAACGGAGGGAGTAATTATTTTCAGAAATTATCATATAAATTTATTGTTTAACCATAACATTTTTTGGAGCGAAGGAAGTAGTTCAACGCGTAAAACATACATATGTAATATATACTAATCGGTTAAAATAATATACTTCACAATCTAATAGAATTTTATTACTATGTAGACCTGTCAATTAGGGTTGGGTTACAAGTCATCTCGGATAGGATTACTTCAGGTTACAAGTCAAGAAATGTTCAACCCTTACCCAAAATATTGGGTTCAGGTCAACCAAACGGACTTTGAACATTTATTTTATTTAATTTATTTTTTGCTTTTTTTTAATTTTTTTTAACGTATTAAATCGAACATTTCCACCAACATTATTATTAGTTCTTACATGACTACTAGATAGCTAATCGTCACAAAAGCTCATCAAATTCTAACTAATTTTGTATCAGTGATACATTTAAAATTTTGATATATAGATTAAAAATTTATCTTAAAATTTAATAAAATATATGAAAGGATGAAAATTTGAGTTAGTTACTTCATAATAGGTATGGTATACATTTCATCACCTTTAATAATGTTTTATTGATGAAATTAGTTTTTTTTTTGGTGCAAATTGATGAAATTAGTTGACATTCATATAACATGATTATATTTTCTTCGTTTCTATGTACAATAAATAAAGTAAAACGTCTAACGCATAATAATTTCATCTTTGCTTCCATGCATAGGAAAGCAAAGTGTCCATGGTCCAATAATCCAATGCATAATTTCTTTTGTTTGTTTCTTTGGATTGAAAGTAAAGTGTATTGGCATAGTGGTTATGTAACAACTTAACAAGGAATTATTGAATTTCTCTTAATAAAACAAGAGAATCTAGGACAAAACTAAAAGTTTGTTAAGAAAAGAACTTTATTATTTATTGATCAAGTACTGTATGACTTATGTTTTGGTAAATTTTCGTCACTTATTGAGCTACATGAAGATGATACGTTGTTCATACGAGAGAGGGTGCTGGATTGATTGACTGTTAAAGGAAAAAGTTATTCGATCATTCTTAAAAAAAGTATCATACGAAGAATAATACTATTTTTAGATGTTCAGATTTAATCGTTATCACAACTTTTTAACTAGAAATGAAATGTAATTAAATATATTATAACATCTTTGTTGTTTGAAAAAAAAAAAATCATATCTTTGTTAAAATTGAGTAAAAGTAGGGGAATCATGATCATCCTTTGGGTCTTATATTCTTATTACTTCATTTTTTTTAGGGGGAGATTAAAATTCATTAATAATAAGTCATACGACACTTACATAAGAAATCGTAATCGAACATTACAAAGGCCAATGAAACAATTTCAAGTTCGGAATAAAATAAACTACAATTGCACGCGCAAAATGACTTTCTGAAATACCCTTGACTCATATAACGCTGTCCTATGCAGCATCTTGCAAGGGGGTCTGGCAATAAGCTGTAGTTTCTGACGTGAACCTTCATTGACTCAGAATCCTGTACTCCTCGACCTGAAATCAAACTTGGTGTCGTACACTTCACCATTGACAATACAATCTCCGATTCAAACACGGACTCCAGCTTGGAAGCATAACCCTTCAGCCCAAACCAAAAGAAGATCAAACCAAAGCCCCATAGCCAAAAAACCCAGTTCAAATCCTGCACCAGAAGATCGGCACACCGATCTGCACACCCCATAGCACACAAACGCACCACATAAGAAGAAAAAATAACAAACCCGAAAGAACAACACACAAAACGACTAAAATAAAAAAAGAAAGAAAATTAAAAACGAGAACTACAAACGAAACCCTAGCAAACGACACCGTAACCAATCCGAGTACC